TGGACAGAGGTTTGTCTATTTTGTTGATTTTCTCAAAGAACCAACTCTTTGTTTCATTGATTCTTCTCAGTGTTTTCCTGGTTTCTACTTGATTGATTTCAGCCCTCAATTTGATTATTTCCTGGCGTCTGCTCCTCCTGGGGAGTTTGCTTCTTTTTGTTCTAGAACATTCAGCTGTGCTATTAATTCTCTAGTATGACTGTTTCCAGTTTTTTCATGTAAGCACTTAGTGCTATAAACTTTCCTCTCAGCACTGCTTTCAAAGTGTCCCATAAGTTTGTGTATGTTGTGTCTTCATTTTCATTGAACTCGAGGAAGTCTTTAATTTCTTTTTTTATTTGTTCCTTTACCCAGGGATGGTGCAATTGTGCATTGTTCAATCTCCATGAGTTTGTAGGGTTTCTGCGATTTGTGTTATTGTTGAATTCTAATGTTAATGCATGGTGGTCTGATAAGATGCAGGGGGTTATTCCAATTTTTTTGTATCTGTGGAGATTTGCTATGTTTCCTATTATGTGGTCAATTTTAGAGAAGGTTCCATGTGGTGCCGAGAAGAAGGTATATCCCTTTGTATTTGGGTGGAATGTTCTATATATGTCTGTTAAACCCAGTTGGGTCATAACTTCTATTAATTCTTTTGTTTCTTTGCTAAGTTTCTGTCTGGAGGTCCTGTCTAGCGGTGAGAGCGGAGTGTTGAAGTCTCCTACTATTAGCGTGTGAGATTTTATGTGCATTTTGAGCTTTAGTAATGTTTCTTTCACGAATGTAGGTGCCTTTGTATTTGGGGCGTAGATGTTTAAAATTGAGACTTCATCTTGATGTATTTTTCCTTTGATGAATATGAAGTGCCCTTCTTCATCTCTTTTGATTGATTTTAATTTGAAGTCTAATTTGTTAGATATTAGGATTGCTACGCCCGCTTGTTTCTTGGGGCCGTTTGATTGGAAGATCTTTTCCCAGCCCTTTACTCTGAGATAACGTCTGTCTTTGGTGTTGAGATGTGTTTCTTGTATGCAGCAGAAGGAAGGGTCCTGTCTTCGTATCCATTCTGCTAGTCTGTGTCTTTTTATAGGCAAGTTGAGGCCGTTGACATTGAGGGATATTAATGACCATTGATTGGTGATCCTTGTTTGCGCTTGATTTATTGTTAGTGAAGTTATTTTGTGTAGTTTCTCCTCCCTTTTTCTTTTGGTGTTTTGTAAAGTATGATTATATATTGCCTGTGTCTTTGTGAATGTAGTTATCTTCCTTGGCTCTAGGTTTTCCTTCTAGCATTTTCTGTAGAGCTGGATTCATGGATACGTATTGTTTAAATCTGGCTTTGTCATGGAATATTTTGTTTTCTCCATCTATGGTAATTGAGAGCTTTGCTGGATATAGTAGTCTGGGCTCGCATCCTTGTTCCCTTAGCGTTCGTAGGACATCTGACCAGGATCTTCTGGCTTTCATCGTTTCCATTGAGAAGTCAGGTGTAATTCGGATAGGTCTGCCTTTGTATGTTACTTGGCCTTTTTCTTTGGCTGCTCTTAATATTTTCTCTTTACACTGTAGGTTTGATGTTTTGATTATTATATGGCGAGGTGACTTCTTTTTCTGGTCAAGCCTATTTGGTGTTCTGTAAGATTCTTGTACTTTCATAGGCATATCTTTCTTTAGGTTAGGGAAGTTTTCTTCTATGATTTTGTTGAATATGTTTTCTGTACCTTTAAGTTGAATTTCTTCACCTTCTTCTATACCTATTATTCTCAGGTTTGGCTTCTTCACGGTGTCCCATATTTCCTGGATATTTTGTGTTAAGGATTTGTTGGTTTTGAGATTTTCTTTGGTTGACGACTCTATATCCTCTAATGAGTCTTCAACACCTGAGATTCTCTCTTCTATCTCTTGTATTCTATTGGTGATACTTGCATCTGTAGTTCCAGACCGTTTACCGAGCTTTTCTATTTCCAGCATCCCTTCATTCTGTGTTTTCTTTATCGTTTCTATTTCAGCTTTCAATCCTTCAACTGTTTGAGCTGTTTCCTTAATTTTCTTGGTTGATTTTTCTTGGTGCTCTTTAGATTCTTTGAGAGATTTGTTTATTTCTTGAATTTTTCCCCCATTTCATGGATTTTTTTGTTTGTTTTTTCTTCTATTTCTTTAAGCGATTTCCTCGTTTCTTCTTTGAGGGTCTTCATCATCTTCATGAAATAATTTTTAAGGTCTGTCTCCTCTTCTTCCTCTATGTAGTGCTTTTCGGGACTTGCTGGTGTTGGATCCCTGGATTCTGGTGGGGTCATGTTGGGGTTTCTATTGCTGAGTGATCTCTTATTCTGTCTTCTTCCCATCTCTTCTTCCAGTGGGTGCTGCTGGGGTCTTTGCTTCTCCACTGGTCTCCTTCCTTACTGCAGCTGAAGCTGGGGATGCTGAAGCTGGACTCCCTGGGGTTGGGGTCTTGGAGGGGTTGATGTCTTTCCTGAAGCTGGGCTCCCTGAAGCTGGGCTCGCTGGGTTGGGGTCTTGGAGGGGCTGATCTCCTTCCTGTGTGGGCGGCTCTTCTGAAGCTGGGCTCGCTGGGTTGGGGGTCTTAGAGGGGCTGATCTCCTTCCTGTGTGGGCGGCTCTTCTGGAAGCTGGGAGAGGGCCCGAAGATGGAGGGGGATGGGGGCTGGGCGGGCGGTCCCCGCCTGAGACCCAATCTCACCTGAAGCTGGGCTCGCTGGGTTGGGGTCTTAGAGGGGCTGATCTCCTTCCTGTGTGGGCGGCTCTTCTGGAAGCCAGGAGCGGCCCCGAAGATGGAGGGGGATGAGGGCTGGGTGGGCGGTCCCCGCCTGAGACCCAATCTCACCTGAAGCTGGGCTCCCTGGGTTGGGGTCTTGGAGGGGCTGATCTCCTTCCTGTGTGGGCGGCTCTTCTCAGAATGAATACATCTTAAAAACAAAATAATGTGATTCCTGCCCTGTTGTTGACTTCTGTTTCTTTGTTTCCTGAGTCAAATCTCATTCTTAGACACAGAAAACTCTACTTCCCCTTGGAGAAGTTTGCATTTTCTTTTTTCATTTTGGGGGGTTTTTGTTTGTTTGGTTTTGGTTTTGGTTTTTTGTTTTTGTTGCTGTTCTGTTTTTTGAGACAGGGTTTCCCTGTGTAGCCCTGGCTGTCCTGGAACTAGCTCTGTAGATTAGACTGGCCTTGAACCCACAGAGATCTGTCTGCCTCTGCTTCCTGAGTGCTTGGGTTAAAGGTGTTGCCTCCACTGCCCAGCAAGTTACATTTTGATCACTTTCCATTCTATTGTCTATTGAACAACTCTGAATTTTCCTTGATATGTTACTGCTTCCTAAACACACTGGGGTCAGGAACTCTCTTAGATTCCTCGCAGCACCTATAACAATGGAAGCTCTGGGGCAGGTGCTTCAGAAGCACTTGAGGCTTAACAGCAGCAAAGTGAGGGGACATGGGCAAGGGACCTGGCACCAATTTAAGTTTAAAGGTCTTTTCTATAGTACCCCAAACCTACCCACTGCCTATCCTTGAGATACACCCAGCACCTATCACATTCTCTATTTAGTGACTGCCTGCCGCTGAACTTTGGGCATTGGGGACTCTATAGAATCAAGCCGTGCCTCACTTCAGTGTGTAATCCCTTCAACACACACACACACACACACACACACACACACACACACACACACACACACACTTTTGTGGGGGGATTTGAGACAGAGTTTCTTTGTAGCCCTGGCTGTCCTGGAAATCTCTCTGTAGCCTGGGCTGGCCTCAAACTCAGAGCTCCTCCTGCGTCTGCCTCCTGAGTGATGGGATTAAAGGCGTGCACCACCACCACTCCACCATTTTCATTCTTACTCTCATGGTTCGGGTTTTAAAGAGAAGCTTCCCCTTCCCTTTAATGCCTGATAATGCAGAACTCCACTTATTTTATTGTTTTAGAGTAATGCTTTCCCTCCTACTTCATGACCCAGGTATGGTCTTTGAGGGTCTTGTTGTTGTTGTTGTTCTTTTTTGTTTGTTTGTTTTGTTTTTGTTTTTTGTTTTTTGTTTTTTTTTAGACAAGGACTCTCTGTGTAGCCCTGGCCATCCTAAGACTCTCTATGTAAACAAGGCTAGCCTTGAAATGGCAGAGATCTGCCTGCCTCTGCCTCCAGGCTGCTGGGATTAAAGCCAGCTCTCCCTTCTGGGGTTCTCATTGTCACGAACTTCAGTGGAAGGAATATTGTCAGCTTCCTTTTTGAACTGACTACTGCTTTGTCCTCATTTTTAACACAACATGTCAGCCTCTGTCCACAATCTCTGGCCTCAGGCATAGCAGGGCTGGCAGCATGTTGTCGGAAGGATGAACTGAGGATGGAGAGATGACCTGTGTTAATTGCTCAGAAGTACAGGCAAGAACTCCAGTGAGGTCACTTCCATTCTCTAGTGTAGACAGGGACTCATCTGTGAGACCCAGTGTCTCCATAAATAAACACAACTCTGGCCATGAGCAAGTCAGAACACTGCCCTTTTCCTGAGCACCAAGATCAGGGTAGACCCTATTCGGATACTTTCCCACAGTTCTCAATGACCCTTTCACAGGGACCCCACAGGTGGGATAGCCTGACGGTCCCCACGGTGCGCATAAGCACTCTGGCTCAGCATTCTGATCCCTTCCCACCCTTCCAACAGAGTGTTCCTCCTAAACTACAGAAACCGTCTCTACTTCAGGGAATAACTGAGAAGTCTGCAGGAGCGCTTTAATACCATTAAGAGCAGGCCCTGCTTTCCAAAGAATGAAACCCAGCACCTGAGGAACAACGAAAAATCAGGAACTGTCCTGTCCTGTGGGTAGAGACACATGCAAATGCGATGCAGTCAGGCTCTCAGAGGACACAATGTGCCACAGAGGCAGAAGCAAAATGCTATAAGAATTGGTGCAGCTCCAACACTCTGTCTGGGGTAAAGCAGCAATGACATGAATCCTGACCATTTCCTTCAACCCCTGTTTGTCCTTCCCTCCACCATGTGACAGCATCAATTGTGCATGTCGTCTTCTGCTGAGGCTCAGAGAGGCCAGTGATCACGGTCAGGATGGAGAAGCTGGGAAGTGATGGGATCACCCTCCTCAGGGAGCTGTCAAGGTCACCCCTCTAAGCAGCCTCCTTTGTGTAGAAGCAACAGCTGGAAAGCAGATGCCAGATGAGCATGGCCGTAAGTATCCAGGTCAGGGTCTCACCAGAGGGAAGACAAGGTCACACAAGGTGCTGAGCACCTCCATGGGGACTTCCTGTGTGCTGCTGTGTGCAGTGCTGTGAAATCTGAGAGAGCAGTGAGGCACAGGCTATATGTAAAAATGACCCAGGGGACTGAAACACCACTTGATGGTTTAGAACACTTGCTGCTCTTCCAGAGGACCTGGGTGAATGAAATGAAGACATGACTGTTCCACGGTAAGGCTGAGGAGGTTTTATTGTAGATGTGAGGGAGAGTACAGCCAGAGGCATCTGGAGGGTCCTGAGCAGGGAGAGAAAATGGTACATGGAATGTGGCCAGCTGACTGAACATGCCATGGGAGTAGAGAGGGGAGGAAGTAAGAGAGGAAGAGAAGAGAAATGCAAGAAGGGACCACAGACCAAGAGCAGAGGACTAAGAGAATCATGAGAGTGAGAAGAACCAAGAGAGTGAGAAGAACCAGGAGAGTGAGAAGAACCAAGATGGCATGGCTGACATGTCTGGGTTATATAGGAATGAGAAGCTGACATGTCTGGGTTATATAGGAATGACAAGCTGGGGGATGGTGAGGTTTAGGGGTGAGAAGAGCAGAGAGGAGCTGCTGGCCCTGATGAACCTGGCTGTCAGGGTGCACTTTGGTATGCTAATAGGCTCCCCATAGTTAGCCATTTGTCCCAGGTGTCTTTGGGACCTGACAGTGGGTTCAGGCAGCTTACAACTACCTATAACTCCAGCTGCAGTAGATCCAATGTTCTCTGCCAGCCAACACATATGTGATGCACATAAACTAATGCAGACACAAACACATACACATTAATTAAAAATAATTTTTTGAGACATACTCTGGCTTATTATAGCTCTGGCTGGCTTGGAACTTGCTATTTAAACCAAGTTGGCTGTGAACTCAGAGGTTCACCTGCCTCTCTTTCCCAAGTGCTGGGATTAAAGGTGTGCACCACCACACCTATACAAAAAAGTTGTTTTTGTTTTTGTTTTTTTGAGCCTAGTAACGGTGGGTGGACCATGCCTTTAATCCTGGCATCTGAGAGGCAAAGGCAGACTGATCTTCATGAGTTCAAGGTCCAGGACAACCAAGGCTACACAAAGAAACCTTGTCTCAAAAAAATGAAAAGAAAAATCCTAAATAAATGACCCTGTAGCCAGTTTAAAATCAACACACTGTCTAAACAGTGAGTCCAATAAGTCAAGACATACCGCTACAAAAACTGCCCCCAAATAGCCAAGACTTGACCAATGCTTATTAGCTTCACAAATTGTTGCTTCCACTAGTTTTCCAGACTTTTGGTCAGACCCTCAGGCCAGGCCCTCTGGCACCATGGAGGATCTTACCTTGAAGACCCCAGAGAACAAGGGCCCCATGAAGGACCAAATGGAAAAACCCAATCTGTTGTTCTGTGCCGCCACACAGGATACTCTGGGTCTGGGTAGTCTACCTCCATCTCCCTTGATCAGGATCAGGGGACACCTGAGCCACCCTTATGTCCCCCACCAGCTTGCCTCTTCTTAGACCTTTACCCAAGACCAAGGACAGTGAGTGGTTCTCTCTGCTGGAGCAATCTGGGAACAAGGGCCTGTGTTTAACTCATTTGAGTTAGACAACTCAAATTTATTCTCATACCGCCTTTTGACTTAGTGATTGGGTGGCTCACTTGTCTTATCTGTGGACTAGATTAATAATTCTGAGTATCTTCTAGGATGAAAAGCCTCGGAATGCTGTGGAACCAGCTGATACTTCCACACAGCCGGACGCCTCTCACCTCAGCTCAGCAGTCATATGATCCACTTCCTCCTACTCCACGCACACCTGGAGTCTGCTTCCTCCCTTTTTATTCCAGGGACCAGTTTGGCACCCAGGCAGGAAATGGGTTTTCTTATTTCAGGTAGACTTCTCCTGAGGTCTCTAAGCAAGCAGACTTGGGCTGGGATTTTGTCCCTCCTGATTGTCCAGAAGAGCAAGCTCATGGGCCTTTTGGGAAACTGCAAGTTTCAGCTGAGCCCTGTGATGAGAATCAAGGGCTCAGAGCAGTCATGCATACAGAAATGAGTGACCATGGAAGCTTCCCAGCCAGAAAAGGCAACGGGCTCTGTCCTCTGGATCATTTGTTTCCTGTGGTCTCAGGGTTTGCAAGCTGCACTCTGCCTCTCTGAGCCTCCTGTGTTCAGGGAGGCAGCTTCTCCCTCCATGGAATGATTTCACCCAACACTGCCCTGCTCTTCACTGCCAGACAGGAGCAAAGGTCTCAAATCTCAGTGTGGATCCCAGTGTGATCCCAGTCTCCACAGCCTTCCAGCGCTGACTCTCAGTCCTCAGAGCCACCCTCTGTCATAGGTACCGGTATTAGCCTGTCTGCTGAGCAAATGGGGAAACTGAGTCACAGAGAAACCAACTAATGTAGCCAAGAAGAAAGGGGATTAAAGTTCAGGCCCATGGTAGAGTGCTTGTCTGGTATGCTCAAGGTCTCAGCACTGGAAAAAGAAATCAAACAAAGTGACACATAGACACACACACACACATACACACACACACACACACACACACACACACACACACACACCCCTACCTGTGCAAGCCACAACATCTCTAAACCCCAACTCCAGCTCTTTTCCCTCCTCACTGTACCTTTCTGGAATGGTTCCAAAGGAATATGCAAATTGACTCTTTGGAGTACTCTGTAGTTCAAAAATTCATTTGCATTTCAGAGGAATGAGGGTTCCTGCTAATCTATTCTTAGTCCATTTCTGTCTCAAAAACGTGGAAGATTCCCTGAAAGCTTTATGGCCACAAGTGAAATGAGCCAGCAAGAGACAAGAAAGAAACTCTGATCAGCTTGACTTAGTCATCCATAACTGGTTCAAACTCCTAGAGTCCTACACCAGGTAATTACTTTAGCCATATTTAAACACAGCACAATTTGGGGGACAAAAAATTCTGATGACAATTAACTCAGCTGGTGTGTACAACTAAGTCATGTTTACATTGAAACGCTTTACAAAGTACATATGGCTTCTTCCATAAAGATGGGGACTGTTGACTCAGAAAAAAATGCTCAAGATGTAGTCTAGTGAGAATGACTGATGTGAACTTAATGCCTGGCCCTAGGAGAACATGGAATGGGTTTAGTGGATTTAGAAGCAATGATCAAGATTCAAGGTAAAGGGGTATAGGATAAATAAAACATAATTTCTGGGGGATGTGGATGAAGCCTGTCTCTGCAAGTAGCGAAAGATCACAAGGTTGTAAAGTACAGCCACGCCCAGCATTCTGGGAGGAAGACAGTAAACATCTCTTTTCTTTGAAGAGATAAGTCTGCGTGTTTAACTTTCCCTGGCTTCTGAAGTGCTTATCTGTGTGCACAAGGACTTTTGTCCTCTACAAGGATATACCTTACTTCAGCAGGGAGCAGACAGATCACTAGACTACACACATTGCAGCAGAGGAACCTGTTGACACCCAGATTCCCGGCCCAGACACTCAGACCAGACCCTCTGGGATAATAATCCTGCATAAGCACCATGGATAATCTTATCAGTAAGACTCCAGTGATTCAGGACCCCATGAAGTCCCCTCCAGGAAGAATCAAATAGGTTTGTGAGTGTGCTTGCATTTAAGCTATTAGAGCTTCCCCTGGGCCTAGGGACATAAGGAAACCTAGGCTGGGCTGTCAGACAGAACTAGCTCTCAGCTCCCCTACAGCTGTGTCCCTGGGGGCACACAGGGACAAGTCAGGCCGTGTTTCCACAGATTGCCATAAACCCCCTCACCACTATGAAGCCAGGCTATTCTTTTTTTTTTTTTTTCTTGGTTTTTTTTCCAGACAGGGTTTCTCTGTGGCTTTGGAGGCTGTCCTGGAACTCCTTGGTAGTCCAGGCTGGTCTCGAATTTACAGAGATCCGCCTGCCTCTGCCTCCTGAGTGCTGGGATTAAAGGCATGCGCCACCAATGCCCGGCCTTTTCTTTATTTTTATTGTTGTTTTACATAGTGTCTTATGCAACTCAGGCTGGCCTCAAATTCCGGATCCTTCTGCCACTACTTCTACGGTGCTAGATCAGTAGCATGTCACCACACCACCATGCCCAGCGGCTCCTCTTTATTGGATGTTCCCATCAGCGGTTTCCCTTCCTGCTTTAAGAATGTCCTCTAATGGTCAGCTGAATGGATAAATTAAGGGCAAAGGAAGACAGCCTTATTAGCAGCTAACAGTAATCTGAGAGAAGGGAATAAGTGCTAAATGGGAGTGGGATTTGCCCCACACAGCAGGGAATGCAGGGGGAAAGACATTGCCTCCCCTCAGTGTGGAAACATTAATGTTCCCTCCCTTAGTATCTCTGTCCCCTAGCAAGCATCAGAGGTGTGTATGTGTGCGCTGTGGTCCACCCATCCAAGTCTCCCTCCTCCCTCCATGAGCAGTAAACCTTCCAGAACTTCCAAAGCCTTTGTGGTCCATCCCTCCCCCCTCCTTAGGATCATGCTGGAAGCTCTCCTTCCCTCATCCAACCTCTGTACTGAAGATACAGGGAATCTTGTCTCCCCTACATCATTTGGTCATGAATATCTATGTTCCTAGACAATAGTGTTTATAATTGCCTGGATACAACAACTGTTTCCACATTTTTTATTATTTATTTGTGTGCATGTATGTGACTGGACACCCTTCTGTGGCATGAAGACAACATGCAGGAGTTGGTTTTCTCCTTCCACCATGTCCATCCCAGGAGTCAAACTCAGGTTGCCAAGCTTGGCAGCAAGTGTCTTTACACACTGAGGCACTTCAGCAACTTCTGGTTTGATATTTCTATGCCTGTACTTTTTTTTCTGTGGTTAAAGTGTGTGTGTGTGTGTGTGTGTGTGTGTGTGTGTGTGTGTGTGTGTGTGTCTGTGTGATGTTTTTCTTTTCGGTCATGTTGAGGACTCATACATGCTAGAAAAACATTTCACCTCTTTTAAAACCATTCCTCCCTTTCTCCTTGCTTTTTTCCATTTTTCCCTTTGTAGCTTTTTGGAAACAGGTTCTAACGAAGCTCAAACCAGCCTCAAACTCCTGATCTTCCAGCTTCCTCCTCTTGAGTGCTGGGATTACAGATTAAGCAACCACATTTAGGCAGCTATCTGCTAAATTTGAGACAAATCCAGGCTAAGTATGCATTCACAGGGAACTGCAAGGAAATCTGAAGTCCTTGCCACAAAGGTAGCCCAAGAATTCTAGCTACTGAAGCCTGCCTGACCTCATCATGCCCATAGGAGACACATTGTAATGAAATCAAACTACCTAAGCTTCACCTCCAGCTATTACCCTATATTAACAAAATAGTCATGAAAATACTATTTCAATAATTGGAGTTGCAGAATACAGATGTCTATTTGGATCCTATTTTATATTCTACTTCTCTCACTTATACCTGTCTGACCTCTTGCATTGCTGGTATTTTTGTTATTTTTTTTTTCAGATGAGGAAACTGATCTCAAAGAGGTCAGAGAAGTCTTCCCCATAGCCATAAAATGCTAAGTATGAGAAGCAGCAATCTCTCATCTGCTGAGAGCTGCCCATCTTTCCACAGCTGCACTCCATTTCTTCATGACCCACTCATCTGCCTGCTCCTTTACTCTCACTGGACTGGCTTTCTCCCTATCTGCATCATTTTCTAATAGATGATCCATGGTGACCCATGTCATGCATATGCCATGGCCCTGCCCTTCCTGTCTGTCCAGTAAATGTGAGTGAGATGATGGAAGGAGATCTGTCTGTTGCTGCTAAACAGTTTTAAATGTCTGGGGCTGTAGCTGAGTTGGGCTATCTTCCTCCCAAGAAAGCACAAGAATTACACTTTCTCCTTACCCTCCCAATACTGGTTATTCTGTTTTTCCTGAGTGTTTTTTAAGAAAAGGTCTCTCTATGAGGCTGGTCTCAACTTCAACTTGTGATTCTCTTACCTTAACCTACCAAGTGCAAAGACTACAGGTTCTCCATAGCAGCCATCTCAATGGGAATGAGGAGCTGTACTCCTTAAAATTCATTCCAAACTTAGCCCAGACCCTGTGTGCAAAGAATTTATAAAAGTGAATGATCTAACAGTTGAATTGGCTTTGCTTCCCAGGGGTTATTCAATGAAGAAACAGTCTCTGAGAGGTTATCATCTTGTCAAAAATCAGGAACTTGAATTTGGCAAGGGGTGCTGGCACATGACTTTAATGGCAGAACTTGGGAATCAAAGGCAGGGAGGTGTCTGAGTTTTAGCCTAGCCTGATCTACAGAGCAAGTGCCAGAGAAACCTGTTTAAACAAAGGAACTAACAAACAGAAACATCTTGACTTTGAGCTGTCAGATTCCAAAGCTGCTCCCCCTGTGGTTTCCTCCCAGCACAATGGATTTGTTTCCATTGCCAGACGCCAGACGCTCGGTCCTCAGCATGAGCAGCTTCCCGGAGGTGAAGAAGTCTCCTCCCTAGCCTGACTCCACTGCCCACAAGGCAGACAAATCATCAGAAAGAGGTCTGTTTGAGTGTCAGCCCAGTGATCCCACACTAGCCTGCAGAGACGCTCAGGCAGGGGTCTGGCCAGCTCTGCCTTTGCTTGTGGGCAGCCATAGAGCAATGCTTGCAGGGCAGCTTGCGACCGACCGAACCTCCCACCGCTCCTGTCTCTGGAGAGTTCCTCCTGGATGCCTGCAGGCCACTGCTGGGCTGCATCACTTCCTCGCCTTAAATCTTTCCTAACACCTTTCCTTTCTTCCCAGCTTAACTTGGCACCATCTTGGTGTGGAATGTCTGCAGCAGCACAGGTAGGTCAGCAAAGCCATGTGCTCAGCTCTTACATTCAGGGCTGGGTAAAACGAAAGCCAGGTTTGCTCTGCTGGTCCTGGAGCTGCCATCTTAATCCCCTTAGCAGGCTGGCTTTCTGTGATGTGAATGTCTCAAGGCTTTAAAAGCAAGAGTGGGGGCTGTGGGGCAGGGCCTGGGGGGAGGGTGGAGTAGATGTGGAAACCGAGTGGGTGGGGTGATGGTTGCTGTGAGTTCCAGAAGCTTCAGGCTCCCCTACTTCTCAGGAAGCTCCCCTCTTCAATCCCTGAAAGAAAAGGACTGATCACAGAAGGCTAAAGTTCAAATTTATGTCGTGTGTGACCGTGCTAGAGTTTGAATGTAGTTGCCAAAATATGCAGGCTTGCTAAGGGTGTCTGAGAAGCCTTGGTTCCTCCAATCTTTGGGATGACTGTGGTCATGGTGTGACACTGTTTCCTCACCCATGTCATAGAGGTGATTGCTGCCATGTGAGATTAGTTTGAGGAGACAACATAGTCACCATGAGAAAGGGTTAACAATCACAACTGTGAGATTAGTTAATAGCTGCACAGGGAGACAGAATAAACAAATGCAAGGCAAACCACAGTGCAAACCCTCGCCCGTTCCAGAGGGACCACCACTGTCGCCCATGTTTGGCTTCCTTTCTGAACTCCTCAAGCTTCTAGCAGCTTTCCATCATGTGGTTGTGGTACTTGTGGAACTCATGAAGTCTCCTGCCTTTCAAAGCTGGTCTCTTTCCCTCCGCCCCTTCCCCTCCCTCCTCAAGTCAGAGTACAGACCACAGGGCTCTGTGTGTTCACCCACCCCCCTCTCCCAGCCCCTCCACCTGGTAATGATTTCCTATGGAGTCTCCCAGGTGTCTCCATGGGGACATTTCCTGCTCCAATCTCCATGGCAACTCTCCAAGTTGCCATGGTGACACTCAAGTGATTATTTGGAGACCCCTAAATAAATCACCCATAGTGTTCTATGTTAGAAGTATTTGGCTCTGGTTCTTGTGTTGGGGGCCAGGATTGGGGCCCAGGCTTGCAGGCTGAAATGGGCGGGATAGGGAGGAGGGGACACAGCCAGTTATCTTGGATCTAGCTCTATGAGGCACCCTCTCTGGCAAAACTGTAATGGGGCCTTTGTGAAAAAGTTCAAGGACAAGAGGCCTCTGGCTTTTGTAATCCTTGAATAGGGGGATTCTGCAGCAAAGTGGTCACCTGAGCCTTTCTCCAGGTCAGGATGAGGGACAATATCATAGGGTCTTCAAATTACTAGGCAGATATTTCTTGCAGTCTGCTGGGCTCCAGGACCCTCACTCTTTCATGCTAAATTCAGAGGGAATTGGAGCTTGAATTCATTTCCTTCCACATACTTAGTGTGGTTTATTTGTGTGCGAAGGATGGAGCTAGGCTGTTCACTGTGTTCTATCACAAAGCCACACCTCCAACCTAGCTGATTTGACAATTCTTTGGTTGTTCCTTTTTAAAATTTCTCTTGTTCTTATTTTTTACAAA